TAAATGCTGGAGTGCTCTAACGATTGCCACGTGTGGTTTTTAATTGCTGTCGGACGAGTGGCTTAGAAATGACAACAGTCTGAATGTGGTTGCAAGTTTTTCATATCACCCTGTAAAATATATTGGTATGTGCAAATTGTGAAGAATTCCAACATTTATATCCAATTTTATGTGAAATCACAAACTCCGATAGACTACATATTCATATCAGACTTCTGGTTAAGGGAAATATTTAGATATAGCAAAGTGGTAAAGAATCGCCGACGTGTTTTGCATGTTGTGACAGATATAAGTATTGGAAATTGTGACCCTTTGTGGGTGAGGTACCTAAAGGGGTTGGCAGATGTTTATCATCTTCACAACAGACCTTGTGTTAGCAAAAATGTTTGTGTGTGGGAAATTTGAGGAGATGGATAAATGAATTTTGGAGGTGTAATTCACTGTCTTTAACCCTTTTGTTTTTCAAAATCTTCAACACTATGTGGGGGAGGTACCAGAAGAAATGGTGCGATCTCTACCATCTTTATAACAGAAGATGATGGAAATATTGAGATGTATCAAGTCTGAATGGAGTCAAATGTTAATTTCGTTTTTTATGAGGTTCATGAATATTCAAAACTTTTGTGAGGGAGATACCAGAAGGATTGGACCAATATATTCCACTTTTTGCACCAGACCTTAGGTTAATAAAAAATTTGGGATGGGTGTAGGTTGAAGAGAACCGGATGCTTATTTCGTATTTTATGTTCATTTTGGTTATTATATATTTTAAGACATCGTGGGGGAGGTACCAGAAGAAATGGTGCTATCTCTACCATCTTTATAAAAGATTGTGTTGATTGAAATATTGAGATGTATCAAGTCTGAATGGAATCGGATGTTCTTTTCGTGTCTTATGAGTTTCATGAATGCTTATTTCGGATTTTATGATCGTTTTGGTTATTCAAAATTTTAAGCCATTATGGGGGAGGTACAGGTAGGAGTGGTCCGATCTCTACCATCTATATAACAGATATTGTGTTGATGGAAATACTGAGATGTGCCACGTCTGAATGGCACTGTATGTTAATTTCGTGTTTTATGAGTTTCATAGATATTGAAAATGTTGTACCTATATATTCCATCTCCACACCAGACCTTGGATTAATAAAACTATTGTGATGTGTGTAATTTGAGGACAACCAGACCCTTACATCACATTTTATAAAAGTTACAATTATTCAAAATGTTGACCCTTTGGTGGAAGGTAATTGATTGAGTGGACCGATATTGTCCATCAAAGTCCAATAATTGGAGGACTGAGAGATATATTTTGTTAGGACGCATTCCTCCCATTGAAACTCCAAACTTTCTACAGGTAGTATTTGCATTCATCGAGATCTCAAAACTCGGGAGGTTCCAATTTTTAGTAAAATTCTGGCGGAACCATTAAAAATGTTCGAAACTGTGAACGAGTCATACTTATAAAGCATGATGTTCAAAAAACTTCAATTTTACACTAACATAGAACAGCATCACAAAATGGGTCTTTTTCGAATTTTCGTGGTCTGAACAAAAAATTTAAAAAAACGAGAGTTTTTAGTAGACTACAAACCCATTACAATATTCAAATCCGAAACTTAAAAAAATCGGTGAATAATGTAGCTAACATCATCAAAATACCGAATATCGAGAGGTACAGTTATATGGGGGCTACACGAAGACGTGGACCAACACAGACAATTTTCTGTCATAGGCTGTAGTATCCATTACGATCTTCAAATAACAAATTTGAAAAACTAAGTGCGCCTTCTTTTTCTTGGTGATGTGTCCTCATTCCACTTGGAGCCATCAAATTCATTCTTAGAAGTGATCACCTATAATACTCTAATATCTGGAATTACTGCCATTTCCGTTGAAATCTAAGATTTATGGGATCATTGCGTTGGCCAGCAACCCGCATGAATTTTTCAAATGGATATTAATCATTTACATCGCCTCATTACCTCAAGAATCTAAATTTTTCTATATAGCCGTTAAGAATTGTTTTTAACGGCGAACTCTATAATGTTGGCATAGTCACTGTTTGTGTAGTTTTAAAAATACTGAAAAATAAAAGAAAATAAAAGTAAAGCAAAATTTAAGTCTCAATTTTCATATAGGTTTGGCTCATTAATTAAAAACTGTTCGGAAACGACATTTACCTTTTTTGAATTAAATTGATTTTTTCTAATTGAATTGATTGAACAGGCTGGGGTTTTCTGAGGCAACATTCCTAACTTAAACAGTCACTGTGGCAGGATCCACAAAATGTTCTATGAAGGGTGTACGCCACTTCGCCCAAGATGTCATAAGCGTAAAAAATGATAAAATCATATATGTCAAAATACAAATTATTCTTAACTTTCATTATAGACCCGCGCCTTATATACTTTTTAATGATGGGCAACAGGATCTGTTTCGATCGGTCTTACACGGGAACAATAAAATATATATGTTTGTTCCTCACTTAATACCACATACGAAAACAAGTAAGAATAGGTCAAAAGTCGGGCGGGGCCGACTATATGATACCCCACACCACTATATGTATTAAGTAGAGCTCCCGTAACAAAAAAAATTGTATGGGGAATTTATGTGATGTAGATCGTACCAACTATGCACCTTATTTGAATGCGTATGGCTTTGGAGTAGTCACAATTTGGGAACTATATTCAACTTTGAATCGATTTTCAACACATTTGACGGTGGCTTTTGTACCTTTAGTACCAAATGGTATTGCTGTATAGTGCAGATATGACATATATGGTGAGTAATAACCATAAAATCGGATGAAGATGAATATCGAATGTATATACAAATCTGAACCGATCCCGATAAAATTTGACAGAGGTATTTTCGAGCTGTATCTGATGTCCGGTATCAAATATCCTTGATGTCGAACGCATATTACGCATGTGAGGGACTTTAACACAAATTCGTATGAAACGTACGTTTGGCAGCTATAGTTATATTTGAACCGATTTTTACCAAAATTTTAAGTACTTGCTTCTGGGCTGAATACCGTCGGAAGTGCCAAAATTCAGTCCATTTGGGCTGATATTAGCCATTTGGTGCACAATAAACCTGAAATAAGATAAATGTATATATATTGGAGCTATATCCAAATCTGAACCGATCTTGACAACATTTTACGTACTTATTTCTGAGCTGTATCTGATATCTGGTACCAAAGACCTGAATCTTCTGGAGGGTATATTACTCATGTGAGGAACTTGAAACTCCAAATCAGATGAAACATATATATATGCTATATCTGAACCAATTTTCACCAAATTTGATTGCATTTTAAATCGACAGGATTAGTACTGAGATTCTACTCTTGCAATTGTAGAATTGCGCCGGCAGAGGTCCACTCCGCTAAAAATTGAAAATTTGTAAAATTTTCAAAAGTACTAACTGATCTATGATGTATTCATCACCCGGCGTTAAATTAAACAAGTTAAAAAGCAGTAAGTTCGGCCTGGCCGAACTTTTAATACCCTCCACCATTTGGAACGAATTTGGAAATTTTCAAAAAAATAAAGTCCTTAAAAAATGCTGTTAAATTTTTAAAAATACCCAATATAGCCGTTATATTGGGGTCTATGCGACCTACATAGGCATTGTTTAAACTTGAAATAAACGGTAGCTAAAATCATCAAAATATCGTATATAGGGAGGTTCCGTTATATCAGAGCTGTTCGAAGACCTGGGCCTGTATAGACAAATTTCTGTCACAGGCTGTAGTTCCCATAACTAACTCTAAATACGTAATTTGAAACAATTCTCATGAATAATGATGCTAAAATCATCAAAATACCGAATATTGGGAGGTATCGTTATACGGGGGCTATACGAAGACGTGGACCTGCACACACAATTTTCTGTCTTAGGATGTAGTATCCATTTCGAACTTCAAATATTAAATTTCAAACAATCCCGGTGAATAATGTCGCTAAAATCATCAAAGTACCGAAGATCGGGAGGTACCGTTATATTGGGGCTGTATGAAAACGTGGACCTACAGGGCCCATTTACGAACGTAACCTGCCTACTGGAAAAATAAACATGTGTGCAAAATTTTAGCCTTCTGTCTCAATTCGTTCGAATGATAGCGTGATTACAACAGACAGACGGATAGACAGACAGACAGACAGATAGACGGACAGACAGACAGATAGACGGACAGACAGACAGATAGACGGACATCGCTTAATCGACTTAGAATTTTACGCTGATCAAGAATATATGTACTTTGTTGGGTCTGACATGAGTATTTCGAGGAGTTACAAACGGAATGACAAAGTTAATATACCCTCCATAGTATGGTGGAGGGTATAAAAATAGCAATATTTTAAAGGTACTTCTCAGTGTTTACCTTTCTGTCCACATACGCAGAAATTATTTCATGATTTCCTTTCCGTTCAAATTCGTGAAAAGATATTTAAAAATTACCATTAAATTGAATGAAGTTTTTAGTCAACTCAGTAGAAGCCCGATACGAAACTTGGCTTCACTTAAAACAGTTTCTATAAGTGACATTTTTAAGGTTAGTATATTCGGAATTAAAATAGAAATCAATACATATGGTACCGTTTTAGAAAGGCGTAGGCTATAATGCTGTATAAAGGGTCCATTCTCCACTTTTTAGGGCTTTTGAAAGATCCGATACAAAAATTCCAAATTTCTTGTGTTGCTTCGGAAGCGGTTCAAAAAATCCCATCAAATTGGATAAATGTTGAATGATATACCAATTCAGTAGAACCGGATAAAAATCGGTTTTTGTATCCGAATTTCTCGGTCAAATAACCAAGTAGTTCGTTATTTTATCCAAAATTTACCGTAATCGGATTTGAAAAATTCTAAAATGTGACGTGTGTCGAACAAATGTTTTTTCTATTTTCGGAGATATCTTCTAGTGGGATATACAAGATTTCCTAATTAGTTTGATTAAAGTTATCTGAACGTCTTCTTTTCAGCTTCTGATAATAAATTTTAAGTCAAAATAGCTTCCCATTCTCTAATGTTGAAACTCAAAAATGTAGCACCCTATAGTGACCATGGTAACACAAATATTTCCCGAAAGATAAATTCTATTTTCGCACTTTCTCCGGAGGTCGCACCATAAAAAACGGAACATTAAGAGATACCGGAGCATTTATCTTCGCTGAAAGCCTACAACAATGTGTGGAATCCATAAAAAAGACAATTGGCCCGAGGAATTTGAGGGTGCAGATAAGATCGTAAAGTTGATAATAGAAGTGATCCAAATATCGTAAAAAAGGCAACTGAAAAAATAACAAAATTCTTTGGAAAACAACGGCATTTCAGTTTTGCGCTTTCAAACGGGGCTGATATTCAAGCGGAAGGTGGTAGCTGCAAAAAAAAAAAATGACTGAAATCGACAAAGAAGCTGGAGCGACAGCAAGGGATAGTGAAGAAGTTGGGCAATTTATTCAAGAAGATGAGGTTGGTGTGGCTCTTTGGATTTTCGGAATTTAAATTCAAATATTGAATTTTGCAGGTTACTAATCCATTGACTTCCGAACGGGGCCGTGAGAAATGGGGTAACAATATTGAGTTTTTGTTCTCCTGTATAGCCCTTTCGGTGGGTTTGGGAAATGTGTGGCGTTTTCCATTCATTGCCCTGGAAAATGGTGGTGGTGCTTTTGTTATACCCTATATTATTGTACTGCTCCTAATTGGCAGACCAATCTATTATTTGGAAATCATAGTTGGTCAATTTTCAAGCAGAGGTTGCATTCGAGCATTTGATATGGTTCCGGGAATGAGAGGTATGGAAATTTTTTTCAAATACCAGCAATTCATAGAATTTGCAATACCATTTTTGTAGGCATTGCATATGGCCAAGTTTTTGCCACAACAATGGGTACAACATATTATGCCTGCATCATGGCTCTGACACTGAAATATTTATTCTCTTCATTTGCCACGAAGTTACCATGGGCCTACTGTCGTCCAGAATGGTCATCGTTTTGTTTTTCGGCCTCCGATAATGTGACGTTGGGTGGTAATGAAACATCGACAAAACGTTTCTCATCGGCTGAATTGTTTTTCTCCAAAGACGTACTACGCGAAACTGAATCTCTGGAAGATGGATTGGGTACGCCCAGTTGGGATTTGATCTTATGTCTGCTAGTCGCTTGGCTTATAATTGGCATAATTTTGTGCAAGGGCATCCGAAGTTCCGGCAAGGCATCATATTTTCTGGCATTATTTCCCTATTGTGTTATGTTCATTTTACTTGGACGTGCCTTGACTTTGCCCGGATCCTGGGATGGTATTGTGTTCTTCTTGAAACCTCAATGGAAAGAGCTGCTAAATCCAAAGGTAAGTATGCAATATTGAATTAAAATCGGACAGAGTTCTAATTGTGGTAGGAGTAGGAGTTATGTTAATATATGTAGATCTTCCAATCTCGCTGAGTTGTGTCGAACTAGCTATGGGTGTCCTTTCGTCCGTCCATCCGTCCATTTGTAATCACTCTACAGGTCGCAATTATGGTTCGATCCTTACGAAATTTTTCTTGGAGTTAGAGTTAAAATAGAAGCCTATTATTTTTGAAGAGTTTTGCAAAATAATAAGGGGATGAAATCGACCATATAATTTTACGGTCGTTCTACAGGTCGCAGTTATAGATCAATCGTCGGAATATTCAACAGCGTATATTTTTAATGCCGAAGACATTTCCATCAAAATCAAAAACATTTGAAAAGGAGCCTTCTAACCTATGCATTTGTGCTGATGTATTTAGTCATATATCGAAGATATAGCAAAACATATACAGGAATCTATACTTTCAAATATTGCTTCGAGTTCCCATTGACACGGCAGAGGGTATAAATAAAGGGCGACTGATACGAAAATGTACATGGTCCTCTACATCTGGTCAATAATACCTCAATTCCTAAGTGACATTATTTGAAGAATGAAATGGGCAGAAACCAATTAAACTAGTAAGGAAAGGTCAAAAGTCGGGCGGTGCCGACTACATGATACCCTACACCACTATACGTATTTGACCAACTATAATCCAAATAACCTTGCTGTATAGTGCATGATATGACTTCGATAAGAATTACATTAAAAACATTTATTGTTGCAATAGATATACCGGACCGAGTTTCACCATATGGTAATATTAGGTTGAATATAAGAAAACCGATCCAATTTAGGCTGATATTACATATATGGTGAGCAATAACCGTAAAATCGGCTGAAGGTGTATATCGAAGCTTTATAAAAATCTTAATCGATCTCGATAAATTTTGACAGAGGTGTTTTCGAGATTTATAAGTTATCTAGTAACAGTTCATTTGGTCTGATATTAACCATTTGGTGCACAATAAACCTGATATCCGATAATGATATATATGAGAGCTATATCCTAATCTAAACCGATCTCGATAAAATTTGGCAAAGGTATTCCTGGGCTGTATTTGATATCTGTAACCAAATATAATTTTTGTGGATATATGGGAGCTATAGCTATACAGGGTGAGATAAAACACTCCAACAAAGTCAAACGCACAATTTTTAGATTATTTTTAATTTTATTGAATGAAAGCAAAAAATGTCGGAAATAGAATCAAATTTTAGAATAAGTTTAGATTTTTTCGAATTGGTCACCTTTGGCACGAATTATGGCCTTCAAGCGGCCAATGAAACCGTCATACCCTGCCCGAATGTTGCTTTGCGGTACTTCGGCTCATTCCAGGCGAAGCGCTTGCTTGAGGTGATCGACACTTTGGTATTTTTAGTGCCAACCTTGCTCTCCAAAATACTCCAGACACAGCAGTCCAACGGAGTGGTATCCGGAGATTTTAGTTGTCATTGTGCGCTGTAAATGAAGCGAGGAACCTCATTTTGTAATCATTCTTGGGTGGCGTGTGCTGAGTGCGATTGTGCTGAGTCCTGTTGGAATGTCCAAGGCCTGCATCCAAAATGTTTGCGTGCCCAAAGCTTTAATACACCTTCCAGAATATTTTCGCGATAATATCAGGAATTTATTTGATGCCACGGTCGATTAATACGAGCGGAGAACAATCATCGGTTGTTATGGCGGCCCACACCATCAACATGGCCGGCGCTTGAGTTCTGGTGGCCAGCTGACCTCTCTGGCAAGTAAACACGATCATTTTGTTTGTTTGCAAACTGCTGGACAACGAATGTTTTCTCACCGGAGGAAACCACATTCGGCCAAGTAAAGCAACTCTATAGCTCTTTTGAGTCTATTTTCTTTCTATTGCGGTGTAACTTCTTGCACTTTTTTGAATTTCAATGGCTTTGCCCCGAGCTCATTTGTCAATATTTGTCGAATGGAATATTACGATATGTTCAGCTCACGAGGCATTTTTTGGACACTACGACGCAGGTTCCGATCGGGTCACTTCTTTACTTTTCGAACCATTTCTGCTGATGTTGCTGTTTTCTTTCGTCCACTTCCTTGATGTCGGGCTACGCTATCAATATCACGGTAACAAGTGATGGTCGAGACACAAAAGATTTATTCACAAATATGGAGTGCTCTAACGATAGCCACTTGTGGTTTTCCAGCCAAATATAAAGAAATTACACTATCACTCTTGAACTCCATCATGAATAACTTTTTTTCTGAAAAATTCTAACCAAAGGCTTTTCTACGCTTGTAAACAATATAATGAGCTGTCACTGGAATAATTTTGACAGCTGTCGGACGAGTGGCTTATAAATGACAGCAGCCTGAAATTGGTTGCAGTTTTTTCATCTCATTGACAGATTTTCAAATATCATTTTCTTGCGTCTAGACTGAATTCGGTCGGATGTGCCAGAATTCATGCCATTTGGACTGATATTGGTCATTTGGTGCTCAATTAATGCGAAATAGGCTGAAGATATATATGGGGGTCATATATTCGAACCGATTTTCACCAATTTCAATATTGTTCGTCCTTGAGCCAAACAAATATTGTTTGCAAATATTCATCCCAATAGAACAATTAATGCGACCTACATTTTGTTTACAAAATTACATGGACGCTTATAACTCAAGTACCGCTGATTCAGATGAATTCGGAATTGTCTCTTGACAGAAACATGAAAAATTACGAATATTAGAAAGTACCACTGGACTTTATGGGGTATTCAACACACAATTTAAATGGCAAAAAATGAATTTCCATCTTACGGTAAATGACTATTCTGAAATCTTTCTGAACTCATTTATGAGTTGGACAAAACTAAATGCCACGCAGCATGGTTTTCTAAACGTTGAAATTACAAATTCCAAATTACAAAAATTGAGATGAGTTTTCACATGGGGCTATTATAGATGTTCTATATCATATAGGTTTTTATTATAGATGTTCTATATCATATAGGTTTTTAACACTCAAATTGAAGCCCATGGCGGAAAAATAAGATCAGGCCATTCAATATATCTAAAACCGACTGTAGGTGAACATCTATTAAAATTTTTGCCATGAATATTTATTTCTATTTCGAAATTATTATGGAGTATTTACTTATAATAAAAATTGTGCCACTTATAAAGCCGGTTCTGTGATTTATTATGCTTGAAATATAATAATAATAATAATAATAATAATAATAATAATAATAATAATAATAATAATAATAATAATAATAATAATAATAATAATCATATAATAATCATAATAATAATAATAATAATAATAATAATAATAATAATAATAATAAATAATAATAATAATAATAATAATAATATAATAATATAATAATAAGAATAATAATAATATAATAATAATAATAATAATAATATAATAATAATAATAATAATAATAATAATAATAATAATAATAATAATAATAATAATAATAATAATAATAATAATAATAATAATAATAATAAATAATAATAATAATAATAATAATAATAATAATAATAATAATAATAATAATAATAATAATAATAATAATAATAATATATAATAAAATTCAAAAACTCTAAAAACTTAATTATTGTAACACTTTATTGCGTAAACAAACAAATAGCCGAATTTCATTGGAATCGGATATACGTATCGTGTTTGATGCATCAAATCATTTCATATTTCATTGGAATCGAACATACTAATCGTACATATGTATATATATGGGATCTATATCCAAATCTGAACCGATTTAAATATTATTTGGGAAGCATATTTTCTGATAGTGGCAATTACTGAAAAAACGCTATTGAATAAAATTACGCATTTTACAAATTTAATAAGAAGTCAGTCAAACTTTTCCAAAGATAAACAAAATCTCGAATATGAATAAATTAGCCACTTAGAATGATGAAAGCAGCGAAGATCCTGAAAGTGCCGACTACTGGTATACTTACCCTACAAACAGTACAAAATAAAAAAAAACAAGTCCCGTTAGTTGAGTATTAGTTTTGTTCCGTTTCGTAGTTTGAAAACATGTAGAACGAAACGTATGTAAACGTTTCATATAGTTTATTTTCATACTCTGTTACGGCCCCCAGTCTTTACTTACCGGCTTCATTTTAGCTTCCTACCAAAGTAGTATCCCACGATACGATAACTGAAAAGCCTTGAGTTATGTTTTCTAGTAATAAAACATTTATCTTTCGTTTTTGTTAAAACAAACCACGTTTTTCATAAAAATTAAGTTTAATTTATTATTGAAATATACGGATAGCGGGAAGTAGGAAGCAGAAAAGTATGATCATATAATGATTTTGATAACAAAATTTTGAGTTGGCAGCAATTAATAAAAATATAATAAAAAACAAATTTTGGTTTAAAGTGGGAGTGAGTGGTAGAATATTAGAGAGCAAGAGTTTTTTTTCATGATAAATGAGATAGTTGGAGAGAAAGAGAGCGTTTAATGAGCGGTTTTGATGAGAGAAACTAAAATTGGATAGTGAGATTAAAGAATTAACAAGTAAAACAGCTGTTCAGCCGGGCCGAACTTTGAATACTCTCCACCATTTGGAACTAATTTGGCAATTTTCAAAAAATAAATACAAATAAGTAAATAAATAAATAAAAATAAATAAATAACTAAAAATCCTTTAAAATGTCTGTTAAGATCTTAAAAATACCGAATGACCTGCATAGGCAACTTTTGTCATAAGCCATTATAATATTAAAATGCGAAACTTGAAAAAAATTATTGAATAATGTAGCTAACATCATCAAAATACCGAATATCGGGAGGTACTGTTATATGGGGGCTATACAAAGACGTGGACCTGCACAGACAATTTTATGTCATAGGCTGTAGTATCCATTACGAACTTCAAATACCAAATTTAAAATATTTCCGGTGAAAAATGTCGCTAAAATCGTCAAAATATCGAATATCGGGAGATGCCGTTATATGGGGCTATACGAAGCTGGTCCACGCCTTCGTATAACCCCCATTTAACGGAAGTTTTCTGTCATAGGTTTCAAATATCATTACGAACTTCAAATATCAAATTTGAAATGTTTCCGGTTAATAATGTCGCTTAAATCATCAAAATACCGAAAATAGGGAGGTACCATGATATGGGGGCCATACCAAAACGTGGATCTACATGGCCCATTTTCAATACCAAAATTCCTGCAGACATAATACATTTGGGTAAAATGTTATCAACCTACTTCATTTCGTTCGGAAGCTAGAGTGATTTCCACAGGCAGACTGACGGACGGACATATCTAAATCGACAGAGAATTTTATGCTGATCAAGAATATACATACGTTGCGGGGTCTAAAATGTATATTTCTAGGTGTTACAAACGGAATGATAAACTTAGTATACCCTCCATACTATGGTGGAGGGTATAAAAAGTTGATGATTTTATGTTGGGTGTAATTCATAAAGGGAGAAAGGCATTAAAAACGCTGCTAAGACGATTTTAATATAGCGTCTAATTTACCAACAATCAGAATAATTTCCCATATGTAGATAAGTCAAGACCCGCAATACCTTAGTTTACATTATCTAGGCAAAATATTAAGACCTTCGTAATTAAATATTATGGCCTTTAATTAATTGTTTCATTTCTATTTAGGTTTGGTATAACGCCATTACACAAATGTTTTTCTCATTGGCCATTTGCTTTGGTACTCTCATTATGTATGCCTCATTCAACGATTTTCGAAAGAACGTTCACAGGTAAGATATATATTTTCAAGGTTAGCAATGAATAATTAATTTAAATGCGTGACATTTTCAGAGACGTTATGATAATTACAAGTATCGACTCCCTAACTTCCCTTCTTTCTGGATGCATTATTTTTGGAATTCTTGGAAATTTGGCCCACGAAACGCAGACCACGGATATAGCCAGTGTGGTTAAGGGCGGTGCGGGATTGGCCTTCATCTCCTATCCTGAGGCCATTGCAAAATTCAAATATCTGCCACAACTGTTTGCGGTTCTGTTCTTTTTCATGCTTCTCGTATTGGGTGTTGGCAGTAATGTTGGCATGGTCTCGTGTGTTATGACCGTGATTAAGGATCGTTTTCCCCACATTCCGCATTGGAAATTGTCAGCGGTTCTATCAGTTTGTGGATTTCTGTGTGGCATTGTTTACATGACTCCTGGGGGTCAATATATTTTGAATTTAATCGATTTCTTTGGTTGTTCATTTATCGCCTTATTTTTGGCCATAGCTGAATTGATTTCCTTCGCCTGGATTTATGGTAAGACCTATTACTAATATTCTGTTGTTGTATATTAAATCTGAAAGTTTTCACTTTCTAGGCACCAAACGCCTCTGCGAGGACATAGAATTTATGCTGGGTATAAAAACCGGTGGCTATTGGAGAATCTGTTGGACATTCATTACACCGGGTCTAATGATGGGCGTGTTGCTGTACTCTTTGATCAGTTATACGCCTTTGACATACAAAGGTGAAACATATCCTATTGTTTATTACGCTTTTGGTTGGCTACTGTGGGCGGTGGGTGTGGGGCAGGTCCCAATTTGGTTTTTGTATGAATTTCGTAAACAATCTGGTTCGAGCTTTAAAACGGTAAGTTATCAAATTTAAATGATTATGACTTTGATTTGAATTTATTTTATTTGCAGAGATTACTTAAATGCCTTCGCCCGTCTTCTAAATGGGGCCCTTCGAATAAAAAACTGCTGGAGGAATATATTTTCTATAGAAAATCTTTAACTTTAAATCGAAGAAAATAAATGTTTATAGATATTTTATCTTTTTGATTGTAAATGTGTATACGTACAGAACGTGAATATAGATTACAAATAATGACCCTTTGTATGAGATTTGTAATCTAAGGCCCCAGTAAAATTGAATCGAAAAATTGTATTATCAAAATTTGCCATCTTTGGAATGAGATGAGGCTCATTTTAACCCTTTGTTCAAAAAGTAATATAAAATATTCGAAATGAAATAATGTCACCAAGTTTTGTTCCTAAAAATATTTGGCACGAATTCGCTCATAAATTTCATAAAAGTACCCTGGGTAGTAGCCAATATGGATTGTGGAAAATTCCAAGTGGATTTGATAGAATTCAGTTAATAGATCAAAACACCAATAGGATTTTGGGTAGACCCTAATTTTTGTTCCGGACCATTATTGTATAGCCTTAACCATACACAAAGGGACCCTAATATTTGAGCCAATTTTCGCATGTTTTAATATAGATGTTTGTAAATTGTTCGGCCTTATTTCGGACATTTTCTACATAAAACTGTCGTCTAGGCCCACCACAATGATAGTACCATCATCTCGCTCCTCCCTTTTTTTTTTTAAATTTTCAACGTTGCAGGCCAAAAGCTTCAAACTTCCATCTCGAACTTGCTGCCCTCCCGTAAAAAAGGTTAGTCGCGAGGAATCATCCTCCATTCTCACCAAACTAAGCTTTGCTCCTTCCCATTTCGGGCTTCCGGTTTATAGACTCTTTTGTATATACACTTATCGTCCAGGCTTTCCACAAGGAGTACCATCCTCTCGCTCCTCTCTGTGGAAGACCCCCTTTTTAATGTCAATAATCTTGTTTTGCATGTCAAAGACTTCTGACCTTTTCTTTTTATATCATCCTCAACTTTGCTCCTTTCCATATGGGCGGTATATTCTAATCCGGATTCATGCGGATTTTAACTTTTGACTGCGTGACAAGGTAAATCTATAACACTGTGCAACAACCAATGCAGTGTAATATGTCGGCTTTTATATCTCAGTTCATTAGGTTAATTGAATCCCCGCCTTGCCGAACTGTTCTTCTACAGATTCAGATGATTTTACAGCGGTTTGCTGGACCCTCAACCGACACAGTCGATTATTGTATAGCATATCCGATTCCTATAGTGTTTCCTGGCAACTTTAGAAGTTCGCGGTTTCTTCGACTTCTGCGTTGACAGAGTATTTTTTGCAGAGACTACTGGTGTCGCGGTGACTCTGCAGTCGCGCTCGACTTGTTCCAACTGTGCCTCCCTTTTCCCTCCCTCCCTGTCTTTGCCCGCAGCACTGATGAGAAGGTCTTTTTTGAAGAGGGTTTCCCGCCATTTTACTCCTCTGGGGATCTCATTATCTTTCCTGTTTCCGAAGATGTGGAAGGAGGGCTCTTAATCTGTTGGCGTTCTTCTTGCCGTGAAGCTTAAGCCTTCCTCCTGCCATGAAGCCTCAGTCTTGCTTCTAATTATCTTGAGCTTTTGCCTTTGTTGCCTGCATTTCCTAGCAATGCTTTGTTGACTTCATTCTTAGTTCAGTTTTCATCTACCGTTTTGTTATATCCTCCACCATTAAAGATTAAAGTCTGTCGTAGTGTTTGCAGCACTTAACATAAAACTAATAAAACAGTACCAACGGAATTCTTTTTCTTTTTTTTTGCAAATTTCTTTCAAATTGTGGATGTATTCAAAGTTCGACCGGGACGAACTTGCTACTGTTTTAATTGTTTTACTTGTTTACATAGGATTCGGTGGCCGAGCCAGAGTTCCTTCTTGTCCTCCCTATAGTTGCTGAAGACTGGACATCTACATCTCTAGGAGGTTGCTCAAGATTGGTCAGATTAGCAGCCGTCAGTAATGGATTATTTAGACGCTGCATCGTAACTTTATTTATTTTCTTTCTTTCTTCCATTGATGTTATTAGTTTTAGGGGAATAGATTCGTAGTCAATTTTGGGTACGCGGGGAGATTCCCTCGGGTGGGTGATCACAAAAGTCTTTTTTTTAATTCTATCCTTTTAGGGAGGTGTTTCGGTATTAAGAAATAGACTAGTGTGATCATTCATCCTCCCTCTATCCGGCACCTAGGAATGCTCCTAGTAGGAGGCTGACAACTCCCTTGGGAGGAAATATAAATGGGTTCACCCAATCTAGAAAAGTATGTTCAGTTGGTAACCGAAATTTGGCGTAGCCTTAATATTCCCTAACCCTTCCTTATCCTTCAAAATCATTCTTGATTATTGCCACCTTATTGAATTTTTAAATGGAGCAACCATTCCAATGAATAACGCATGACGCTGCCTCTTCTTCAATTCCACACACATATCTGTGTACTATGTCTCTATTAGTTCATGTGTCTTAAATTATTGTCTTACACACATCTACCGTCTGTTGGCCCACTAGCTTCCTTTACCAGCGGATTCAAATAACTTGAAAGATATTTCCCATTCGTTTGATGTAATTATAACTTTCATAAATCTTCATCACATTTAATTGTATTTGATAAGCGTGGAATATTCTACCATATTTTTGAGAACATCTACCAGAGTCACCCTACAGAGGTGTAGATGATATAATCACTACACAAACTATTTAGTGTTATTCGAATTTTTATTAATATTCATCATACTGGTAAAAAATGGTATATTATTTTATTTTTGGGATACTGGTAATTCAGGAACCTTGAGGTTGTCATTACTGTGTCATGTGGAAAGTAAGCGCATGCGGCGACCAAATTATTGCTGGGTAGATTGAGCGTAAACTGATTTCATCCAAAGGTACATAGGGTCTAAAACTACTTTGCTGTACCATACTATGTATTATCATACTATACGCTCTGAAATATTGTGACATGTCCCTTTCTCGATGTGACAAAAAATAATGAGACAAATTAAAAAGTATCAGCCGGTTTTGCCGACAGATGTATGCCCACAGTCAATATTCTATTATTTAAATATATTTTGACTTCAAATATATTTAAGTTTAAATACCATTCCAAAGGAATGGGAAAATATTGTTCATTTCATATCGGACCGAAAAATATTATCTAAATGTTGCGAAATGCCAGATTTGTACTATATTGGCGTGGTTACCAGATATAGTCTACCGAAGTATTTCATTTCCATATTGCATCTAACACAGATAAAAAATATCTATATTCATCTAAGCGTTTCTGTTGAGAGAAATATTTAGATGTAGCAAGTTGTATAGAATCGCTGACTTTTTTCGCAAGTTGAGACAGATAAAAGTATTGAAAATTGTAACCCTTTGTGGGTGAGGACCAGAAGGGGTTGGCAGATGTAAATAATCTTCACAATAGATCTTACGTTAGCTAAAATATTTGGATGTGTGAAATTTGAAGAGACTTAGATGCTTACTCCGCTTGCTTTGAGCGTTTTGTTTTTCAAAATTTTGAACCCTGTGAAGGGGAACTGGAATTGTCCGATCTCTACCATCTTTATTACAGATCTTGTGTTGATGCGAATATTGAGATGTGCCAAATCTGAATGGTATCGGATGTAAATTTCGCTTTTTATGAGCTTAATGGATATTCAAAATTTCGAGCTTTTGTGTGGGAGATACCAGAAGGAGTGGACCGATATTTTCCATATTCACGCCAGACTATGGGTTAATAAAAATATTGTGATGTGTGTAATTTGAGGATTATCGGATTCTTACATCACATTTTATAAGAGCTATAATTATTCAAAATTTTGAACATATATTGTGCAATTTCGCACATGGCCTGGCACTAATGGAAATTTTAGGATTTGCAAAGTTTGAGCAAAATCGGATCATCATCGGATCATCGGATCATCCTTTCTCTTTCTGTGCAGTAAAATATTTTTTTGTTGAAAATTTCGACCTTTTGTAGGGAGGTATCAGAAAAAGTGGACCGATATTACCCATATCTGAACTTGATCAAAGTTTGATAATGATATTACGATGTACCAAGTTTGGATCAAATCGGATACTAACTTCGAGAGTTACCGTGCTCACCAGCCAGACGGACATTTCTTTTGTCCAAAAAGTCCCAGCAAGAGAAATAGCTGAAGCTAGAATCTAGAAATTTTACACTAGCGCCAGTTCTTTGTTCGTTCTAAAAAGGTACGAAAGTACTAAGCGTTATAAACATTGATCGATTCATTCTGAAATTTTGAATGAGAGCCACTGATGGGGTGCCGGATAATGTACCAAAGTTTTTTTTTTTTGGAAACTTCTAAAATGGTACCTTGTGGTATTATGTAAAAGGGCAGAACTAAAACCTTGAAATTTCACATGGAACTCAAGTTTGGAAATTAACTTTGATATGATGGATTTGGACAGGTGTACTAAGTGTGCGAACTGTACTAAATGTTACTAAATTTGGAACAACTTGTTTTAGGGTAAACAAATGAAGCTGGAATTTTGAAATTGTGTATTGGGCTCTCTTTTTTGTTAGATTTGTGCTAATTAGGTGGTCTTGGAAATGTGTACTACAAATGCACGAAAGGTCCAAATAGTTTAGTAGAATTTGGTATTGAGTGAACAAGTAGTGCTTGAAATGAGACATTCGGTATTAGGGTCGCTGGAAATTTGAACTTTAAGTGAACGAAAAGTTCTAGAATGATACTAAACTACTAAAATAGTATAATTTGGTATTACATGAACTCATAGAGCTAAAAACTTAAAATTCGGAATGAGAATTAAAGGTGAAAAGTAATTTTTATATATGAAAGTGGCTTTGGAAATGTGTACTAAGTGTGCGAATTGTAGGGTGAACAAATGAAGCTGGAATTTTGAAATTTTGTATTTCTCTCTGTTTTGGTGGTAGATTTGTGATAACGAGGTGGGTTTGGAAATGGGTATTACAAATGCCCGAAAAGTACTAATTAGTACTATATTTTGTACAATTGGGTATTGGGAATAGATAGTGCTTGAAATTAGCTATTAGGGTCGCTGCTCGTGTGTAGCCCAAACATATGGAAGGTGTTTAGAAAATCTGTTCTATAATTGTACGAAAGATACTTAATGGTACTTTATTTGGTATTGGGTGAAGGGATAGATAAAAAACTCTTAGATTGTATATTAGGATTGATATTTTTATATTAAGATAATATACGAGCTCAAAATTTGGCAGTGTTTTGGAAATGCATCCTGTATTTGATCGAAAAGTACAGAGTGTTACTAAATTGGG